TTCTGGTCCCTTTGGTGAGCTGGGGGCTGTGATCACAGGCTTCCTGCCCAGAACAATGCAGAGACAGGCCGTGTGCAGGGTGAGCTACAGTAGCTGTGGGCTTGCTAGCCTGTCAGACGCAGGCTGCACAGTTCGCTCCAGGCCGGGCTGTTGTCAGTGGAGACACGGGCCTGCGCTGTAGCTCTGTCACTCCAACAGGCCAGGGAGCAGAGCTGGGGGCTGGCCAGGTCAGGGCGCACGGCATCGTTTTCACTTTGGCAGAGTTTTGGTGTTCACTCAGACAAAGCACATCCTTTTTGCTGTTGAATTCTTCATTTCAAACAAACTCGCTCCAATGATTAGCCTTTTGTGTTACAGAAGGACCCGGCATCTTACAAAAGGGCGATTAAATGAGTGTTGTTGCTTTGTTAACACGTGAGCCAAAAATACTGAAGAGGGGTCTGACGAGCGCTCGGATTGTCCAGACTGTCCCCCCCCTTTGCTTGCTCTGGCTTTTGGTAGACCACCGTGCTTCAGGAGGCCAGGGGACACATGACGCGTCTTTTTCATTCAGTTCGGGTTGTCAGTAGAGACGAAGGCTGAGCAGAATATACACTGCAGTGTGGGTGCGTGGCCATGGCTGTGGTCTTGTAGCTGTGAGCCTGTGGGTCTGTAAGTCGTGGGTGGGATTCTGCTGTGGTGCCCTTGAGCCTTGCACTGTGCCTGGTTTGCTGCAGTAAATCGCCCAGTTGGTATATGGGTGGAATTTGCTTTGGTCAAAATGATAATCCCTCGCCATCCTGCATCCATGTTCCCTTCCCTGGTGGTTCTCAAGCAGACCTTTGTTTAAATCGGTCTAGACTTTAAGTCGGGGCCCAGTCAGAAGTTGTGTGTTTAAATCCCTGGGAAAATGAGAGAGGCTGGGCGACTGTAGAGTGCAGCAGGTGGTTAGTTGGGTGTTCAGATTTGAACGGTGTTATTTGTGGGTGGTTGCTCTCCTCCCCCAGCTGTGCAGAGGTAGCTCTGTGCGTCTCTCCTCTGGAGTACCTCGCTGGACCTGCCCACGGAGCAGCGCCGCGTAGCGACCGTTGCTACGCAGCTGGTTGGCAGTCCGCGGGTGAACTTTGGTAGCAGCAGACGGGGAGAGAGAGAGGGAGAGGGAGAAATAAGCCAGCCCAGGTTTTCCTTAGCCGCTGACTGGCCACACTGCACAGTTTAGCCTTTGGTCCTCTCTGGCGGGTCGTGTCTTCGGAGAGTGCGTTGGGGAAGAAAAGACGGATTGCATCCATGCCAAGATTGTGTGGTGATGGTGTTTAGGGTCTTTTGTAGAGTTTCTTTTCTGAAGCCTGAGTGGCTATATTAAGCCTCCTGCTCACCCACTCTCCCTGTGCACGTCACTGCAAGCTTAAAAAACTTCTCTGGATTTAGATGCAAGTATTCCTAATGTTACAGCCTGGGAACCACTCGCTGGCGTGAGCCCACGGGGACCTGAGCTGCTCTCTCCAGCTTTATTTCTCCCGCCCGGCTGGATCCAGTACATCCTGATCTACCCCTCCCCCCCCTGTCACTGCTTTGTAGATTGAAAACCTAAAGTCTCACTGCACCAAACTAATTTTTCAGCTGTGCATGGCAAACCTCTCCCTCCCACAAATCATTACCAATTAATTCAGTTTACACACTTTAAGAACTTTGGGAAAGGTTAAAAAAAAACATGTGTCCTGTTTAACAAATGACACACGGTGCCCTGCAGTCAGGAATTTAAGCCAGTATGGGTGACAGGTGATTGATCCTCTGGATTTGGAGATAGAAGGGCTCTTAATGGGACGTTATTTAAAGTACACTGCACTGTCGCCTTTGGCTCATTGAGCCCTTAAGTTGAACTGAGCTGTGTCAGTTCTTAAATGCTAAGTAAGAAACGAACATGCAACCTGTCTGCATTATTCATTTTTATTATTTCAGTGACTTGGCAGAAATTAATCTGTGGGCCCATTTGGCACTAAGATCACAGTGAGAGTATTTGATACCGTCTTCTCTCCTTGGTTTGCTCAATGGAAATGAATCAACATTAACAGAAGTTTGAAATTCTATGAAGGAGCAACAGTTTTAAACCAGCTGGCAATGCTGTGTTTCTTGGAAACAGCACACTTAAGGAAGATTATGATTAAATCCTAAAACACGAGAGGAAATGTAAATCAATCATTCTGATCGTTTTGGCATTGGTAAGAGACAAGTGTACTCCAGGAGCAGCATTGGGAACACTATTGAAGTCAGTTCAGTTAATGATCTGAAAAGGCCATTGCCGGGCAGGACGCAGGGCTCATCGTTATCACTCTGCTCCGTCCCCCCACACCGCGGTCTCCTAGTCTTGGAGTTTTCCCCCACACGCTTCTCGCTGAGAGCAGGGATGCCATGGCCGTTCCACACACGCTTCCAGTCCGGGATGAGCTTCGGACTCTCAACCTTTCGAGAAAGGAGGCGTTCACTTGCACAGTCTCACAAATCGCAACACGCCGGAGCTCAGCCGGTGTGAGCCTGGCCAGTACCTGGATGGGAGATCTTCTGGGAAACCTGAGGGTGCTGCTGGAGGGAGGTGTTAGTGGAACCAGTAAGAGGTGCTCACCCCTCTGAGTCCTAATGCCCCAGTATACTGTAAAAAAAAAAAAAGACACCTTCCTTTGGGTCAAACATAACACAGAGGTCCTAAATCTCTGTGGTCATTAAAAATCCCAGAGTGTTCTCAATAACCACAAGGGTGTTAACCATGGTGTCCTGGCCAAAGTTCCCCCTGGCATTTAACAATCATGGCCTCCTAATAATCCCCATCTCTGAACTGACTTCATCACTCTGTTCTCTGTTCTGGTGTGTGGGGAGTGTACTGGTGCACTCTGGCTGCCACTGCATCATCCAGGTGGGGCTGCGCACTGGTGGTGGTGGAGGGGAGCCCCATTACCTGTGAAGAGCTTTGAGTGGAGTGTCCAGAAAAGCGCTATATAAGTGTAATGATGATGATAATGATCCCTGCCTATAGATGACGCAGCCGGTGTTGACATTAGTCTCCCCTCTCCCAGGCTGGCCTGCTGTGCACACAAAGCTGTCAGGGTGCAGCTCCCTGGCAAAAGTTTAAAGGAAAATCAATAAGCGTTTTCACTTGTAATCAAAATGTCATTTCATTCATTTACTCAGCTTCTGGGTGACCTAACAGATCTCTTCCCTGCAGCGGCTCCCATAGATTTGACACCACGCTGTCTGTAGAAGGACGAGCTGTGGTGTGTTGTTTTGCTGTTCCATTTTTGTAATCTGATACAATCTTTGATTTTGGTCATACAGAGAACATTTGTTGTCTTATGACACGCCCTCCAGGAGGTGAGCATTGAGGACTGGCAGAGCAGCGAGCTAACAGCAGACTGTCCTCGGTGTTCACAGCAGGAATGTAAAACTAGACTGGGGATTCCTGGGCCCTTCTTTAAACAATCTTTAAACGATCTCGCACAGACCAGGAAGATTTATAAACAATTGCGGTGTGTAGCTTCCTGAAGTTACAGGCCTCGCTATGTTTCTGTGCTCTCCTTAGTTCCTATTTTTTTCTTCCTTTTTTTTTGGGTTAGAAAATGTATATTTTTATTTTATACCCAAACCCTCAGTCAAATTAACTCGGATGTCCTGCCTCAGCCCCCTTCCCAGCAGTCCCTCTTAGCCATACCCTGCCACAGCCATCTGCGAGTCCCACAGTGCCCACAGCAGGGTGCAGAACGCGTACAAATGAGTGGAGACCATTCTGCCCATCTAGCCCATGTGGCAGTGAGTAGCTAATTGATCCAAGGACCTTGTTCCTTAAAAGAAGCCAGTGGGTGGCCTATGATGGAGGAGCTTTCAGAAGGCCAGCTACCCGAGCAGGCATTCGGTTCATTCACCCCCTCTTCTCGGGAATCCTGGCCACAGCCTGCGAATGATGGGCCACTCCACCTCGTTTTATAGTTCTCCTGCTTTCCTGTGTAGATCAACAGGACTGCAGAAACGCACACAGTACAGTACATTTTCAGACGGCAGCCTTGAATTTGCACTGTGAAGCTGCAGATGTTTGTCTTTTCGCTCCGGGAGGTGTTTTGCCTCCTTGC